GGATCTGCTGCCTGCCACTCATGCCAGGGCCTCACGGGCAAGCTGCACGGCCCCTCATCCGTGTGCAGGGAACCTCCCTGAAGTAGAAAAGCCTCCAGGCAAGCTTGGGGGTCTCACTTTCAGAGCTGCTCTGTGGACGGACAATAAATCGGGTCCTGAGAGCAGTCTTGGGGCACTTCTCAGAACTGATTTTCCCCCATCCTGTGGTTCCCTTCCACAGACCACATTTGAGTCAGGTGAACGAGAGTGTACCCCAAGTTCTTAAGGTATATAAACACCACCTTTTCTACCAGCAAGGCAGCATTTCCTCTTGTAATAATAGTTTTTTCTAATCTACCTAGGTTTTTCAGTTTCTCTCGCTCTCCTGCCCCAAAGCAAAACATTTGTTATTGCACATGTGAAAAGCATCAGCTGGCGCCAAGTTAGCACGGTTGCACCACTGCAAAAACCTTCGCCTTTGCAGTGTCCCCCCTCAGCACGCTTGAGTCTTCACCCGAGTGTTCGCCGAGGTCCCGTCGCCCACAGAGGGCACTACTCGTAAATGTAACTGAGCAAACGCGTCGCCACTTTATGTCACATCAGCACTCAGAAGGTTGCGGTTCCCACCCAGAGCAAATCCAAATGCTTCATGCATATTATTACTGTCATCTCTAAGAAGAAAGGGAGCAGCAGGCTGGTGCCACACAAAAGAATACGTTTTTAAAGTGCATACTGTGCATTTGTACTCACGCTGAGATGTCAGGCAAGGCTTCCCACTTTGTATCGCAATGGAATGCCTCTAGCCCCCCAGAGCTGAAGTACATCAGTTCAGTGACATAAGGAAAAAGAACGGTACCTCAAAGGATATTTGATATTTCAATATGCAACCATGCATGTCACTTTGTCCTGGGCAAAGATGAGGAGAGACATGCTCTTCCTCTGTCCACAACATGCGGATCGTAGGCATTCCTTGTAACACACTTAAATGTTAAAGACAGGTTTCCATTTAGTCCCTTTACTACTGCAGCCAGTAGAATATTTTTCTAAAGTCCCCAGTTCAGGGATAAGGAGACAAAGGCTTTAAATATCAGAGACACTGACCTCACTGATAGGAATTTTACCGCTAGACTTCCCTGGGTGTCGGGATTTCAACCTGTATTTCTAAGAAAGGATCCAGATCTAGTTTGCTGAGCCTGCTTTTACATGTGCAAACAGAGAGGCAAGTGCAAGTTTATGCAAACACCTACCAATAGAGTAAAAATCTTTGGCCTTCTGACCCGCCTACCTCATTTTAAGTGATGCAAAAATCCCAGCTATGTGCGATGTGTGCACACAAAACAGAGCAGCCAAAAAGGGAGGAAGAATATCTGCCCACCTTGTATCCCACTTCTGTGCTGCCTCCATTTCTCGGTATGCTCCAAGGGGACGTGCAGGAATGTACTCAAGGAGGGGGACAGCTTACAGGACAGTAAAAGAAAGTACTTTGTGCTTCCAGTCCACTGAGGAAATTGCTGAGCTGTTGCTTCTTTAAATATCAGACCCATAGTTAAGCTGAAATGAAGTTTCACTCTTCATTCAGTCCTCTCTAAGTGCATCTCAACCTCTAGTTTAGTTTTAATGCAGCCAAATGTGCTGAAAAATAGCAGCTAGAATTTGCCTTCAATCCAAGGGCATGACAGTGGTAGTGTCTTTTGGGTATTCCTATATTTAAAATACAACCTTTGTCAATCCAGTATAATCTACCTTTTTCATTTGTCTTACAAACCATCAAGATTGTTTTTGTCTTCAGAATCTCTTTAGAAGCTTCAGCTCCTCAGCTTTTTGCAGCACAAGAAACCCAGAGAGGGATTAGAAACTATTAACATGTTGGTAATCGCAATCGTATATTTTAATCACTGGAGTACACCCTCAAATTACAGTATTCCAAGTAGAGACCAAGTAGCGTAAGGCCAGTACTCGAGCTCCTGACATCATACTTTGGCTCTTAGAGTTATATACTCCTGTGCAAAGTAGATGCACGCTACTAGCATGAATCTCCTCTAAATAGTAGTGGCTATTTGCCGTCTTTCTATAAAACCAAATTTTCTCCTCAAGAAGGAGAAAAGGAGAGGAAGACTCAGTACAATGGACTGAGAAAGGTAGTACCAAAGCTAACAGCCTTTTTTCAAAGGAATATTTTACAGCGATTTAAATCCACTCTGTGTTAGCTTTGCAGGACTGCCATGTTTGGCTAGGTAAGCTGCCTAGTCTGCAGTAACACAGTACACCAAAGATTTTGGATAATTTCCTTTTTTCCCCCCCAGCTTTAAGACTAATTCAACCAGCAAGTTTCCCTGCAAATGCAACGTTTCAAAAAGACCATTTCCATTTTAATTCACATAACATATCATATTAAATCCACATGACCAGTTCTCCTTGAAGCCCAGGGTTCCTGTTTTCAGGGAGAGGTTCAGGCTGAGAAGACAACATGACAGGAGAGTAAGAGTTTGCTCACTAGCCCTGACTAATTCATCACATTGTAGAAGCTGAAACTACAACAGAAGTCGATGGTATTAGAGCTAAGCAACTTCCACTTATGTGAAACACTAGAAAAGAAACCCCACTGATATCTGGGCTCTCTTGAACGTACAGTTTAGGAAGGGCTGCAGACCAGCAGATACAGGGCACAGAGCAGCAGATACAAACCCGCAACTCCCTTTGCGTGCATTTATTTTCCAAAGCCAGTGCTAAAGCCAACCTGCTGGAAACGTTTGCCTTCTGCAGGCTTGCCGAAGCCCGGAGTTGATGTGCGTTACGCTGGCTCTGCCAGCACTCATAGCGATTCATTCCAGTTTCTGGGAGGTAAACGCAGGCTGGCTTCAGCTCACGGATTCCCACAGCCAGCAGTGCCCAAGCCCCCGTCCTCCCTGGGGACGTGCCCCGGTTCCCTCCCACAAGAAACAGGGGTGGCACAGCCAGACCTCAAGGGAAACGTTAGATGCCCAAGATGCAACTGAGGCTGGTGCCACAAGGAGAACACACACACGAGGACAAATGACTGGCCAAGTTAAGGACAAAGCTGCCAAGATGCCACAAGACACACACACGAGGACAAATGACTGGCCAAGTTAAGGACAAAGCTGCCACGAAAACGAACGGGGGTTGTCTTGTCTCCATTTCAGCAGGAGCAGGATGTAACGCCCAGCTGCTCTGTAAAATCCAGCAGACCTGAACATCTCCCCTCACAAGTGTGAGGGATCTCACACCCGCTCACCCGTTTTCACATTAGACGTTTGTCATTAATAATTCCAGGCGGTGACACAAAGCAATTGGTTTATTCAGATCAACCTTTTAATCCCATCTCGCCTTCAAAATAAATTACCAAATAAACTCTTCCACGAACTATGCTCTAAATCATGAGGTGGTCACAGGACAAAAACTTCCCACCAGAGAAAAGAAAAAAAAAACCAAAACAAAACACCACCAACATTTTTTTGGAACTTGTTTTGGTTTCACCGATTTGCTTCTTCCCAAAACATTAGGATTCTGCAAAATTTTAATCTGACACAAAAATCAGAATGCAGTAAACAGCAGATTCTTTGCTCAATCACACATGAGTTAAATGATCATAAAGCAATACCAATACTTTAACAAGGGAATTGCTTCTACAAAATCCTGATAAACACATTCCTGGAAAACAGTAAATTTTAAAAAATGTTTTAGTTGGTTTTGATGTGTCGTACCAGACTATTTTATTGCGATAAGTGGATTTAAAAAAAAAAAATAAATAAAAAAACCTGACAGAGCATTTTGCAGCAGGTTATCTCAATGCACAACCACCTCTTAGAAATTAAGCCTCCCAACATCCCTGTAAGCCAAGGACTTTACAAGCAGGAAAACTTGCATCAACAGGCTAAGTCACACGTCAAGATCATACAAGGACTTGGTCTTGACTCTTGCGATAATCATATCACATCACAACATTTTGTACAGAATGATTTATTATGACTATGATAATTACTGTTCAGG